TTATTACCCTTCTCAACTTTCCTTCCGTTTAAGTTGACGACTGATCAACCCGTCTTGTCTTGGTTAAACGCCCTTTAAACATATATGTATGTATGTAGTATACCCATTGTCTCACTAACCTCGGAGATCAAAACCGAAGGGTAGTGGGCGATTTTCATGCTCATGTATAGCAAGGTGTAACAGGAGTTGTTTCTTTTAATCCTTAACATTCCTTGCGGAATCGCTTTTTTCCCAAAGCTGGTGCTTGATTAAGGACCAGAAAAATGTTTTGGAAAGGCAGTAGTTCGAACTCTGATCGAAATAAATTCCGATCCCGCCCATCCCGAAATTCTATTTATAAGTCCCGAACCCGCCTGACTCCAAGTTTTTCAGAATTGTACCTCGGGTCCTGTGGGTTCCGACATCTATCACTAAGAAATAAAAAAAAAAAAGCAATGAAAGATCTGTCATCTTCCGATTATTTCGTTTTGCTTTGCTGTTCGTTTCGTCTCAATAAAACATAACAAAGTGCTTATATAGTACAACATTTTTAAGGAAGATTTTATTAATTTGCGGGTTTTATCGGGATTTCCGATTTTACTTTTTTGACCACCCTAATGTACATAGATGTAAGATGCACATTAAACTGTACCGGAAAAAAAGTTCGTCTTACACCCCTGAGCCTAAAGGGGTCACCTTATTACAGATTCGCCAAGGGAAGTAATTTGATTATTCCAGTAGAACTATTTAAAAAAATTTAATTGTCGAATGTAGTTATCACCGAATTTTTTTTTTTCGAAATTACGACCTTTTTTTCTTTACTTGTAAGGTGGTACGGTCTAATGTACATACATACATATATTAAAGTTTTTTTTTTTTTAAATTCTGCCAGCATGTTCTAATCAATGAATTTTTTATGCAATATGATCCGTAAACCAGTTTTAAGAAACTATGGATGCCTATGGAGCCCTTTTTTGTGATAAGAATTTTTAACGCATTTAGAAGATTTCGTCCTTCTTTGAAAACTTATTCCAATTTGACAACAAAAAGGTTAAATNTTTTTTTTTTTTAATTTTAATTCGTAGAAATTGAAGAGACT